TTGGGCTGTTGGTTCTGCTGCTGCTTGGGCTGTTGGTTCTGCTGCTGTTTAGGCTGCTGATTCTGCTGCTGCTGCTTGGGCTGCTGGTTCTGCTGCTGCTGCTTGGGCTGTTGGTTCTGCTGCTGCTTGGGCTGCTGGTTCTGCTGCTGCTGCTTGGGCTGCTGGTTCTGCTTGGGCTGTTGGTTCTGCTGTTGGGCTGACTGCTTGGCTGGCTGGGGGGACTGCCTGGGCTGCTGCTGCTGCTGCCTGGGCTGCTGCTCGGACTGCGGCTGCTGCTGCCTCTTTGCCACGTCATCGGGGCCGCCCGCCGGGTGGGCGCCCTTCTCGGAGGGGGCGGACGAGCCGGGGCCGCCCTTGGAGCCTCGCTGCTTGGCCGAGGACATGGCCGGGCCGGGGCCGGGGCCGGGGCCGGGAGTGGGTGGGTGGGTGGGTGAATGAGTGGGGGGAGCCGCCGCTGCCGCTGCCGCCGCCGCCGCCGCCGCCGCCGCCGGGAGCCCGAGCGCGCCTGCCTATCCGTCCGCCCGCCCCCCCCCCCCCCCCCCCGGCCCCCCGTGCCCCCCCCCGGCCCCCCCCCCCCCCCCTTCCCCCCGGGGCGCGGGGGGCACCGAGGCGCACGGGGACCTCCTGGCCGCGCTGGAGGAGGACGCCGCCGCCGAGAGGGAGAGAGGAGAGAGAGAGAGGGAGAGTGCGCGCAGAGAGGGAGCGAGAGGAGAGAGAGAAGAGGAAGGAGGATGGGCAGCGAAGAAGGAGGGGGCGAGAGAAGCCGCCGGCCCCGCCCCTGCCGAGTGGGGAGAGACTGCCACGCACGCTAACCGGAGCCGGCAACCCCTCCCCCGCCCGGCGGCCCGCCCGCCTCCGCTCTCCTCCGGCCCCGCCCCGCCCCGGCCGCCACGACCCCAAAACGGGGAGGGAGGGGGCAAAGGAGGGGGAGAGCGGCGGCGCCCGGGGGAAGGGGGGAAAGCGGGAAAGAGAAGTCTGGCTCCCTTCCCATCCGGGCGTGTTCCTGGCCAGGGGAGACTTAACTCCGGCGTGCCTGCGCCCCTGGCCTTGAGGCCCGGCGCCGCCGCTCACGTGGCACGCGCCCCCCCCCCACCTCCCTGGGGGACCCTGGGGCTGAGATCGGAGATCCTGGACTGACGGGGACCTCCCGGGCCAGCCGTGCCCACCCCTGCTCCCCCCCACCCCCCGGCATTTTGCCGAAGAGCAGACCGAGGGCCTGAGAGGAGAAATGATCTGGGGATCATGGATCACAGATTGGGGGACCTGAGGCCGTTTAGCCGGACCCTCCTTGTGGGATCTATCCCACTCTAACCCCCAGTGGATGGAGCGCAGGGCCTGGAGTCAGGAAGACTCATCTCCCTGGGTTCAAATCCAGCCTCAGACACGTACTAGCTGTGTGACCCTGGGCAAGTCACTTCACCCTGCTTGCCTCAGTTTCCTCATCTGTAAAACGAGGTAGAGAAGGAAATGGCAAACCGCTCCAGTGTCTTTACCAAGAAAATCCCAAATGGGGTCTCGAAGAGTCAGACGCAACTGAACGACGACAAGCTGAGTCCATGGGAGGGAAGTTGACTTGGGATCATAGAACCAGAGATTGAAGATCTGAAAGGCCATTGAATCCAACCCCCTGAGGGGAAGTATCATAGGTTCATAAATTCATGGCTGGAAGGGAGCAAAGGGGCATCTAGTCCAACCCCCGCATTTTCCGCAGGAGGAAACTGAGGTCCCGAGAAGGGAGTGATCGTAGGATCATTCAAAACTGGAAGGAAATCTGGGGCCATATAGTCAAACCCCTGACTTTTACAGATTAGTAAACTGAGGCCCCACGAAGGTAAGATAGCCACTGGAACGTCTCTAGTGGACTTTTAGAGGCTCTCAGACCAGTGATCCTTTGACCACGTGGTCTTGGATTTAGAAGGGACCTTCGAGACTGTCAGGTCCCTTCCCCTCCCCCATCGAAGAACAAGAAAGTAGCAGTGGAAATACAGAGGACTTGATTTGGAATCCCGCTTCTGCCTACCTTCCTGACCTTGGGCAGCAGGAGGTCCTTCACTCCTCTGGCCTAAGGGAGACCCTTCACTTCTCCAGCCTGTTTCCTCATCTGTGAAATGTTGGGTTTATACCAGGTGATCTCTGAGACTCTTTCCTGTCTCTAAATCTGTTATCTAATGCAGGCTAGAGGAGGGCACGTGACTTAGCTAGCCACAGTCACCCAGGCATTAATTAGCAGAGTCAGAATTTGAACCCTGGATCTTCTGTTTTCAAAGTCAATCTACTTTCCACCATATCACATTTCTTGATTACTCACTGGTATTAAATCCCTTAGTGCATAAGCAGTGGTCTCAGCAGGGTTGACTACTGAAGGGGAGATATGTGGCCACTCTCTCCTCCCAGCAAGGTAATCATTATAATAGTGTTGTTTTGGAACAAAAGATGCTCTTGAGCCCAGTTGAGAGACCCCAGGCTGCTAGCCTGATTAAGCAAGTATTCCTAGAGTCATAAAACCACAGACTTAGAACTAAGTGGGACTTTCGAGGTCATCTAATCCAACTGAGGAAACTGAAACCCAGAGAGGGAAATGACTTGGCCAAGGTCAAACAGAGGGTGACTGAACTGGAATTGGAACCTGGGACCCTTGTTCCCCAGTGCTTCTCTTTTTTTCTGGAAAAGAGACAGGGCCCTTTCAGGTACTTTGAGGTGGGAGCAAGATGAGGGCCCCCTTAATGAGACAACTTATTTTACAATTATGTGCCAGACCTGGGAGCTGCTGCTCCTACTACCAATGTATCCTCATTAATAGCTGTAGTATTTGGGGAAAGGGTTAGAGATCATAAGTCACCGTCAATCAACAAGGATTTATTTATAATGCAGAGCTGTAGTTCTGGAGTGGAAGACCTGAATTCAAATCCTGGCTCAGACACCAACCATCTCCCTTGGGGCATTGGCTTTCAAGTTTGCCATGCACTTACCTTGTTATTTCATTTGAGCTTCACAACAACCCTGTGAAATCACTTAACCTCTGCACACCTCCATTTCCTTTTCTATAAAAGGAGTGGGTAAGACTAGATGGCCTTTGAGATCTGGATCCCAGTTGTAGAACTATAATGTTTAGAGTCAGGAAAACCTAGGGGTACAAATCCTGCCTTAGACCCTTAGGAGCCCATAGGACCACAAGCAAATCACAACCTCCCTCTAGCTCAGCCTTTTATTAGCTGGGTGGCCTTGGGCAAAGTGGTTTCACTTCTGAGAGGCTCAGTTTTATAGTTGGGAAAATGGGGCTAATGATGGCTGCCATGCCTACCTCACAGAGTTATTAAGATTTAGATGAGCTAATGTAAGTGAAAGTACTATGGAAAATATTAAGCAATGGAAATGGACAGTGTTTGGGGGGGGCAACTGGTGGGAGAGAAAGATGATTGGTTGCAGGGGTGAGTCTGGCCTTTGCCTCCTACTGCCTGTGTAGGGCCTGCCTGAGTTGTTTTCTTTCACTGAGATTCAGTTTCCTCATCTGTAAGTGAGGTTGGCAATATTTGTGTAATGCCCTCTCTCCACCCCAACTCGAGTACTTTAGTTTTGGGGGAAGAGGAGGAAGTGGGCAAATTTAACTGGAGGTATCAGAGAAACTGTGATGTAGCTCTTGGCCCCTGGAAACATGAACTGAAAGGTTCAAGTCAGAAACATAAAGAAGGAAAAAGGAGGCATAATGGTAGAGACAGTATCTCTCCACATATGGCCTGCCTTCTCCTCCCACAGCCTCACTCTACAGGTGATGGAAGTGCAGTCAAGGTCCCCGGCAGCAACAGTGCATTCACTCTCTCTCTCTCTCTCCCTTTATATATACATATATATATATATATATATATTATATATATATATACATCTTTCTCCTCTCTCTCTCTCTCCCCCCTCTCTTTTCTCTCTCTGTCTCTCTTTCCCCCCTCTCTCTATCATTCTGACTGTCTGTGTGTGTGTCTTTTCTTCCAGAACCTCCATATCAGAAGGGTGTCCAAGACAGTCACATCTCATTCCTCTATATGTTGCATTTCAGACTTTCTCTGCTATGCCCTATCCTCCTGTCATTCAGCTTTCTTGTATGTGTTATCCTCTACTCATTAGAATGTAAGTTCTTTGAGGATAGGAATTGTCTCTTCTGCTTGTATTTGTATTTGCAGCACTTAGCACAGTGCCTAGTACTTAGTAAATGTTTGTTGATTGACTGGCTGGCTCTGTTACACATTATGAGTCCAATATCTGTTGGGAATTGTGCTGGACAGTCTATATACGCCTTGCATATATTCAAAGAGGGAGACTCAACAGACGGAATTGAAGCCTTTCATGGCACTATGGGTTCAGTATAGCTTATATATACTGTCTGGGGACTACCTGGGACTAAGGAAAGGAGGAGCCAGTATTATTTTGTTGTTTTTATTGATTCTTTGTCAAGAGTAAAACACTACATATAGTGTCCAGCCATACTTAGTTGGGCCTATGGTGAGTTGGTTTCATTATGCCAAAGGTATTGTGACAAGGTTTGGTGACATACAGCAAGTTGAAGGAAGAAACAGGATTTTGCAAGTAGGATAAGGGCTCAGAACTTATTCAAACTGGATAAATCCATACTAACCATTCCCTCTAGACCAGGGGGTTTTAATTTTTTTTGTGTCGTGTGCCCTCTTGGCAGACTAGTGAAGCCTTCCTGAGAATCATATTTTTAAATGCATAAAATACATAGAATTATAAAAAATCATATTGAAATATAGCTACCAAAAATATATTACAAATAAAAGATTTGTGGACCCCAGGTTAAGACCCACAGCCCTAGAATGACAAGTAGGCAAAGAGAGGCAGAGACAGGAGACAGACATTTGCCCATTCTGAGAAGCAAGGGGAACATGGAACTTCCCAGAGCTTCTTCAAAGTGGAGGTGAGACATGGGATATGAAAATCTTCTGAGCTCTCCTGTTGAACAGGATCAGGGTAGTGATTAACAACATCACCTAGTGGTTAAATTTGTACTACATACTTCACAAAATTATTCTGAAGAATTACTGTAAAATTGTGAGTTTTTATTACTGTTAAATATTCAGCACTGTGGTAGACCCAATGAAGGACAGAAAATGAGACTTGAAGAGGTTAAACAAATTGCCCAGAGTTTCACAGACCTCAAATCCATTTTTGCTGAGGAGTCTAGAATTAGCCTTAAAACACCTTAATGAAAAAAAAATGAATCTAACCTGAGAATGAGGTTAGCCTTAGCCACTCTTCCCCCCCCCCCAGTCTGCTCATCTCTAAAATGGGAAGAATGGCACTTGCATTACCAATCTCATAGGGCTGTTTGCAGGAAGGTAGCTTTTGACTCAATATAAGGAAAATTTCCTGACCA